GAGAGACAGAGAGAGAACAAGCAGGGGGAACAGCAGAGGGAGAGGGAGAGGGAGAAGCAGACTCCCCATTGAGCAGAGAGCCTGATGCGGGGCTCGATGCCAGGACCCTGGGATCATGACCTGAGCCGAAGGCAGACGCTTAACGACTGAGCCACCCGGGCACCCCGTCACATCTTTCTTCTAGGGCTCCCCTCAGGGTCAGCTCAGAGCCCGGGGCCTCAGGACTACGTCTAGAGATCCCTAGGGTCTGCATGCTGAGGGGCCCACCCACGGCTGCCCCCTCAGCCCAGCGCCCCGTGGTTTCCTCAAACTCCCCATGTCCTATAGGCCTGTCCTATCGCTGGCTCCTCAACGAGTTCCCCAACTTCATCCCGACGGACGGGCGTCACTTCGTGTCCCAGACCACGGGGAACCTGTACATTGCCCGGACCAACGCTTCAGACCTGGGCAACTACTCCTGCCTGGCCACCAGCCACATGGACTTCTCCACCAAGAGCGTCTTCAGCAAGTTCGCTCAGCTCAACCTGGCTGCTGAAGGTCAGGGTCGGTGGGCATGGTGCGGAGGAGGGAGCTGGAAGGGTCGGCGGATAATAGGAAAAGAGAGTTCCCCTTGGAGGTTGTGAAGAGCGGCTCACAGAGCCCGGGGCTTGGGGCCTGAACCCCAGGTCCTCCGGCCGCAGGGCCCCAGACCCTTGCCCAGGCCCCCAAGGGGGAACAGGGGTCAAGAAAGAGTCGGCTCTGAGCTGTGCTGAGATCCTAAGCCCGGGAGCACCTGGCCTGCATCCCTTGTGTCCGATCTGCAAAATCCCTCTCTTCCCAGACACCAGGCTCTTCGCACCCAGCATCAAGGCTCGGTTCCCAGCAGAGACCTATGCGCTGGTAGGGCAGCAGGTCACCCTGGAGTGCTTCGCCTTCGGGAAGTGAGTGGTGGAGGAGGGAGGGGGCAGGCCAGGGCACAGCCTATCAGAGCCCCTCCGGGACCCGGGTGACCCCAGGGAGAGGGCAGGCAGGGTCTGGCAGCGCGGTGGACCCACAGTGGGTAGGGACCACCCCTCACTGAGCACTGTCACTCTGAGTGAAGGGGCCTGACACATTCTGGGTGCTCCCAGCCAGGCGGGACAGGCTCAGGGGGGCTGATGCAGCACCCCAGGCTGGAGGCACGTAGCGCCATGCACGAATCCCAACCTGGCCGGCCTGGTTCAAATCCCAGTTCTGTCACTGGCTGGCTGCGAGGCCATGGATAAACTACTTAACCTCTCTGTGCCTCTGCGTCCTTTACTTGTACATGGTAATCATCATAAATAGTACCTGCATCACAGGCAGGGGAGAGGCAAGAAGTGAGTTCAGCGGGGTAATACCCATGACGTGCCCAGAACAGTGTCCGGCATTTAGTTAAGTGTTCTATGCATGCTAACAGTTCTCTTTTAAAAATTGCAATAGAAATCCTGTTCTTCCAGGGAAAGGATTCGTTGGAACGGGGCTAAGCAAATAGCAGGTGCTCAACAAATGTTTGTAGAACAGTGTGATTTGCACATTGGTCTCCTCTTCCCTCAGGTCTCCTGTGGATACCTAGGATGTCCCTGCTCTGTGAAAAGTTACTGGGCTTCCAGAAAATTCATATTTAAAGCATGTGGGGGGCGCCTGGGTGGCTCAGTCCGTTAAGCATCTGACTCTTATCTCAGCCCAGGTCTTGATCTCAGGGTCCTGGGTTTGAGCCCCATGTCGGGCTCCAAGCTGGGAGTGGAACCCACTTAAAAAAAAAAAAGAAAAAGAAAGCACATGGAAGGTTAATGTATTAATCCTTTCAGACTCACTGATACCTTAGTCCATTTTAGTAAACGAATCACTAATAAGCAGAGGCCTTTTGAAAAGTAAAGGCAAAGCCTGTTGGGGAGAGGGGGAAGGGGACCCATAGACCCGCAGGTCACAGGCCATTGCTGAGGAAGGCAGTCCCAGACTCGGTGGCCAGTGCAGGGTCGGGGAAGGGAGGGCAAGCCAGCTTCAGGGTACAAACCACAAGGAAGTTCACTGGTGTCACAATTACTGCAGGGGAGACAAGAGGAGAGAGGAACCCTACTTCTAGCCTCTCCCCTACCTGTGCTCTGAGCCTACCTGGGGGAGAGGCCCCGCCCTTCCCCCTTGCCCCTCTCCCTCCCCCCCTCCTCCCCATCCCCACCCGCCCAGCACCTCAGGAGGGCATGAGAATCTGCGAGCAAGAGCTGCGGGGACACGGGAGTCTGCCTAGCGCAGCCCACCCGCTCTGGCTTTGTCTCCCCTGCCAGCCCCGTCCCCCAGATCAAGTGGCGCAAAGTGGACGGCTCCTTGTCCCCCCAGTGGGCCACCGCCGAGCCCACCCTGCAGATCCCCAGCGTCAGCTTCGAGGACGAGGGCACCTATGAGTGTGAGGCGGAGAACTCCAAGGGCCGCGACACCGTCCAGGGCCGCATCATCGTGCAGGGTACACAGCTGGGACACCCTCCCCCGCCTTCACTCTTACCCCTGAGGAAGCAGATCCAAAAGTCGGGGAGGGGAGGCCCCCTTGCTTAAGCCTTCCTGCCCCAGGATTGCACTGGGTGTGGAAACAGAAGCTCAGAGCTTCACTCGGGGTTGCAGAGAGCACGTGGAAGACTTTAGAATGCTTTAAGTTGCTAAAAGAGCCGCTAGCACAGACACCAAGTGCCACCTTCCTTCAACCTGCTCCGCCCCCCCAACCCCGTCCCGGAACGCTGAGGGCGCCCTCTGCTGTCTGTCACAGGAACTGCAATCCCCGTCCGCTCTGAGCGGGAGGCTCCTCCCAGCTCACCCGCGGCCTTTCTCCCCCTTCCTCCGGCAGCTCAGCCCGAGTGGCTGAAGGTGATCTCAGACATGGAGGCTGACATCGGTTCCAACCTGCGTTGGGGCTGTGCAGCGGCCGGCAAGCCCCGGCCCACGGTGCGCTGGCTGCGGAACGGGGAGCCTCTGGCCTCCCAGGTAGGAGACTTGGGGCTTCCCACACACCAGCTGTCCGCTGCTCACCTGGTTCCCTCACCTTCCAGACTCTCCTCCCTGACTCTGCACCACCACTGCAGCCTCTCTGGGACAATTAAGGCACCACGGGGCGGGTGGTTCTAGGTGCTTCTTTCCATCCCAGGTTCACACGGCCACGGGCTGGTCACCAGGATAGAGTCCTGACTGGAGGGTCCAGAGACCTGGGTCCAGGCACAGCTGAGTCACAAAATCACTGTGTGGTCCTGAGCAGGCCACCTTGTCCCTCTGGCTTCGGTGTGCTGACATGCAGGGGCCTGGGGAACCCGAGTCCTGGGGTTCCGGGAGGTCCTGGGATGGGCAAATGAGCCCCCTCGACGGGGGAGTGGCCGCCTAAAGCCTCCACTGCCCCCATTGCCCCCCTGCCCCCCGCCCCGTCCTCCAGCACGCCAGCAGTCCTCATGCCCCTCATGCCCCACCCCTGCTCTCTTGGGCACAGTCCCGTGTCGAGGTGCTGGCTGGGGACCTGCGCTTCTCCAAGCTGAGCCTGGAGGACTCGGGCATGTACCAGTGTGTGGCGGAGAACAAGCATGGCACCATCTATGCCAGTGCCGAGCTGGCTGTGCAAGGTACGGGCCCAGGTGGGCAGGCGCCGTCGGCAAGGACGTGCAGGTCGGGGCTTCCAGCGTTCTGAGCTGCGGCGCTTCTAAACACACGAACACACGCGGGCAGCTTCCCGCAGTTTTCCAACGGCTTCTGAGCAGAACAGAGGGATCGAAGAAAGGAGATGAGACACTCGACTGGGAGCTTCCCGAAGACGGGGTCTCTGGCTTGTACCGTGTCTGGCACGGTTAAAGTAGGTTGTTGGCTGCTGTGAACAACGGGGCGAAAATCATTGGCAACCAAAGCAATTAGATTTGTGTTTAAACCAGCCCCTTCCGCTATGTGACCTTTGGCAACTTAACCTTTTGTGTCTCAGGTTCTTGATGTATAAAAGGTGGGCAATAACAGTCCCGCCCTTGTGCTGCTCTTTGGAAGAGGAGATGAGATAGAGGTAAAGCAGAGAGGACCTGTCTGTCACGGAACAGGTGCCCAATAAATGTCCGCTGGTGCTAGTGTTCTTAGTTATATGATTTGAGCTCACGGGGCCTTGGTTTCCTCATCTGTAAAATGGGTATAGTGATACCTACCTCATCAAGTTGTAGTGAGCTTAACTAAGACTCATTCTTTTATTCGTTCCTTCAACCAATATTTATTCAACACCTTCTAGGGAGTGAACATGAAAGATAAGGTCTCTGCCTTCAAGTATCTTACAATCCAGTGGAGAGAGAGGGACAATCACAAAATCATGTAATTAAATAATTTTGGACAGCCATAAGAAAATTACAGTATAAAGAAAATCCAGCAGAGTGGCAGGAGGAAGGTGGGCCAGTTAGACAGGGTGGCCACACCTCTTGGAGGAGGTCATATTTGGAGTGTGACCTGAGTGTTAACAAGGAGCCAGCCGTGCAAAGATCTGAGGGATTTTTAAGCAAAATGTATGGCAAGTGCAAAGGTCCCGAGGCGGGAAAAAACGTTGGCATCCTCAAAGGACAGAAAATGGCCCAGGTGATTGGAGCATAATAAATGAAGGAGAGTGGTGTGAGAGGTGAGTGGAGAGGTGGGGTCGTATTTGTGAGCCCTTGTGAGGAGCTGGGCTTCATCCTGAGTGTGTGTTTAAGTTTCTTAAAAGATATGCCAGGCTGCTGAGTGGAGGAAGAGATTGTAGAAAGAAAGTGCAAAAACAGGAAGACCGACTAGGGGGCTTTTCAGTAGTTCTGCAGGAGATTTGGTGGCTTGGGCCAGCGTGGTGGCAGTTGGGGGGGTGGTGACCAGAAGGGGCTAGATTCTGGGTGTATTTGGGCAGTGCAGCTACTGCAAGTCACTCATGGATTGGCCTCGGAGGGTACGTAAAGTACGTAAAGTGTGTAGCGTGGAGCCAGGGGACGTCTTCATCAAGGCAATGGGCAGTGTTAGGATTCCCTGGGTGACTGCAGGGCACTCCCCTTTCCTTCTAGCCCTGGCCCCCGACTTCAGGCTGAACCCTGTAAAGCGTCTGATCCCTGCGGCCCGCGGGGGAGAGGTTGCTATCCCCTGTCAGCCCCGGGCGGCTCCGAAGGCCGTGGTACTCTGGAGCAAAGGCACTGAGATTTTGGTCAACAGCAGCAGGTACAACCTCTCCTCCACCCGGCCCAATTCCTGCTCCTCCTCATCCACCCTGAAGGCGAGTCCCCTTCCCGTGACGACGGCCGTGTGACCCTAGGTTGGCCAGATCTGCTTTCTCCTTGCTGCAGAGTGACTGTAACTCCGGACGGCACCTTGATCATAAGAAACATCAGCCGGTCAGATGAGGGCAAATACACCTGCTTCGCTGAGAACTTCATGGGGAAAGCCAATAGCACGGGCATCCTATCTGTGCGAGGTGAGGGCTGTGGCTTGGCGGAGGGCAGGTGGCTCAGCTGCCACAGGGCGCCCGTCCCCCCTCACCACCCTGCTCTTGTGCTCCCACCGTCCTCCTAGTTTAGTTTTGAGGCCATCCCAGGATTGGACTTCATTTGGGACCACCCCCTTGCCACCATCCGGAATCTACTCCTGCCTCCCTCTCACACATTCGTGAGGCTCCTGGGAGGTCAAGATCCTGTTGGCCATGCTGCCTCTTCTCTTTCCTGGGGCTTAGGGTCAAACGCTCTCACCCTGCCCTGCTGCCTCTGCCTGGGCCTCTTTCCTCCCCCGTCCACCCAGGGACATTGTTTTGCTTGGCAGATGCAACCAAGATCACTCTAGCTCCCTCGAGTGCGGACATCAACTTGGGAGATAGCCTGACCCTGCAATGCCACGCCTCCCATGACCCCACCATGGACCTCACCTTCATCTGGACCCTGGATGACTTCCCCATCGACCTCGATAAGCCTGGGGGTCACTACCGGAGGGCCAGCGCGGTAAGGCCTGAAGCCAGAAAATTCACGGCTCCTCCCTCCTTCTGACAGACAGGGGACCCAAGATGTCCTTAACTGTGACTACCCCAGAGCCTTTCCCCATTCCCTCAGGAATGCATGTGTGGCAAGCTCATCCTTGGATTCAGAAGAACCCCCTACCTTAGGCGGGCAGTTCCCTGGATCCCACCTGAAGGCCATACTTTTAGGAGAGGGTTAGGGACAAACCTGGAATGCCAGGCGCCCAGCAAAGCCTCCACTACTGTTCTTGTTTCCTGACCCCAACGCAAATGACATCATCAACTTGGACCACGTTTGGACTGTCTCCGTAACAAACTGTTGTTTAGTCCCGTGGTACTAAGAGAGGAGTAGCTGATTCCTCCCACTGAACAGACAGAAACCCCGAGATGCTGAGGGGTCCATGGACATAACGGAGCAGGGGACTCCAAGCCCTACCTCATGTCTCATGGCTCACTGCACTAGCCAGGGCCCCCTCCTCTGACCTGCCCCCCCACTCTCTGTCCCCCATGTGCAGAAGGAGACAGTTGGGGATCTGACCATCCTGAATGCCCAGCTGCGTCACGGCGGGAAGTACACGTGCATGGCCCAAACGGTGGTGGACAGTGCGTCCAAGGAGGCCACAGTCCTGGTCCGAGGTGATGGGGTTTCCCACCCCGCCCCTGCCCCAACGCCCTCAGGGGCCAGCTGGGCTACTCTGACCTTTCCTCCCTAACTCCCCTCCTCTCCCAGAAAGCTGTGGGGAAGGACTTCTGACAGAGAAGGGCTTCTAAGTCCCCAGAGCCGAACTTACCCTGTGGTTTTTTGAAGGTCCCAGAGGAATAGAATATTCCTCCTCCAGAGTCATAATTTTAAAGATCCACTTCCCTAGACAGAAGAACTCGGCTGAGGCCAGCACTTTTCAAAGCCTGGCGCTGGGAAATCTATACACATCTCTACGTGGGGGCCTCCGTGAGCCCCTCCAGCCTGGGACACATTTCTCCAACCTCCCAGCCCCCCATCTGCTGCTGCCCCCCTTCCTGGCCCTCCCACCCCATACGTGTTTACTGCGCCCTCTGCTGCCCTCTCTGGGTACTGCACCAGCCCAAGCCAGCCGGGAGGAGATTGGCTCAAATTTGAAGCTGCCCAGTTCTGACTCACTGTGCTCTGACCCCCTGGTGCAGGTCCACCAGGTCCCCCAGGAGGCGTGGTGGTGAGGAACATTGGCGACACCACCGTCCAGCTCAGCTGGAGCCGAGGTTTCGACAACCACAGCCCCATTGCCAAGTACACCCTGCAAGCCCGCACTCCACCTGCAGGGAAGTGGAAGCAGGTTCGCACCAGTAAGTGTGAGGGTCCACCTAGGTCAGTGCAGATAAGGCCTGGCTGAGCCGGGAACTTCCGAGAGGGACAAGCTTAGCCCCTCTGCCAGCAGGGAGCTCCCCGGCCCTTGGGGGAGGCGGTCCCATGGATGGCAAGAGAGTGGGAAGAGAGCTGGAGAAGGGAGCACTCAGTCTGTGCCCTTAGAACATTGACAGACCATCTCTGTGGCTCACACTGATGCACACAGCATCAACAGAGGCTCCCAGGCAGGGAAGTCTACTAGTTTTCCCATCCTTTCTAAAAGAGGTGCTGAGCACTGAGCGTATGGCAGGCACCACCATGAGGGCCCGGATATGAGGTGAGTCAGGCCCAGTCCCTGCCCTTTCCATCTAGACTAACAAGTGCCAGCACCCTGACTCCGGGTCCCTTGCAGATCCCGCCAACATCGAGGGCAACGCCGAGACCGCCCAGGTGCTGGGCCTCACGCCCTGGATGGACTATGAGTTCCGGGTCTTAGCCAGCAACATCCTGGGCACCGGGGAGCCCAGTGGGCCCTCTAGCAAAATCCGGACCAAGGAAGCAGGTCAGAGTCCTGGGGGTCCCAAAGAGAAGTAACGTCAGGGCACACAGCCCCTAGCCCTCCTGAGAGGGAACCCCAGGGGAGCAGCAATTGCGGGAGTTCCCACCCTGCTCACCAGGCTTCGGACTGTAACAAAACAGATGAGAAAGGGACACAGTCAGGGCAAGGCCATTGCACTGCACGGTGCATTCTGCCCTGGGCCAAGGCCTGGGCCTGTCGGGGCTGGAAGACCCATCCGGTCCAAACTCCTCCTTTTAAAAAATGGGCCAACCTTACAACTGCATGTGAATCTACGATGATCTCAAAATAAAAGGAAAAATCAAAGTCTGGAGAAGAGAAGAGTCACATCGGCAGAGCCTGGACTTGAACCCAGGACCATGGGGTGATGGGCAGATGTCCTCCCTGGTAGTACATGAGCTGCTGAAATCAGTTAATGAGGAAGGTGTGTGTGTGTGTGTGTGTGTGTGTGTGTGTGTAGGGAAGCAGTCCGTGTCTCTAAATCCTTCAGAGCAGGTGGAATGGGACAATCTTCCCACAAGCCTCCCTGAAAGGCAGGTAGGTGTCACATCTTGAGTGGGGAAGGAAGGGGAGAGAAGCCAGGAGAGGCACCTGCCCACCCTCTGAGACTTTCACAGCTGAAGGTCCAGAATGAGAGCCTTGGGTTCCTGAGATGGGCAACATGGAATCAGGACCCCGTCTCCCTTTCCCCAGCCACCCACGCTTCCCCCCCTCCCATGTGTAGTAAGGGTCTGCCTCCCTGTGTCCCTTAAACATGGTTTCCCATATGCCCCAGGCCAACTCTCCAGTCAGTCAACATTTTTAACCGGTACCTCTCCAGAGTAAGGAATTCCAGAAAAAGCCCCTTCTTTGGTTGAACTTCTTAGAGAGACAAATGAAGGGAGGGCAGTGGTCTCCTTCATTCTGGTATCCCAGGAGTTGGTGAGCAAAAGACAGCTAGGGTGCAGAAGAAAGATGATGGATTTTGAAATGAGAAGAGTTGAGTTCAAATTTGAACTGTGCCATTTATTAGCTGTGTGACCTTAGGCAAGTCACTCAACTGCTCTGGGCCTTGGTCTTTCCACTTGACAAGGGTGATAAGAACGCCCACCTCACAGGATCACATGGGCAATGTGGTTAAGCACCCCTTGCACATTACAAGGCCCTAAACTACTGACATCAGAATCAAGTGGTAAGTTTCCCCTTGCTGGATTCTCTGTGGAACTATTTTGTCGCTCAGCCAAGTTACCCCCTGCCAAGACTCGTGATCTAATTAAATAGTCTTGTTTTAATATCAGCTTTGTTGAATACTAGAGACAATTAGGAAATTAAATCTGCCATGAAGAGAAAAATAATAATAAACCCCCCTGCAACCCAAAAGAAATATTTTTTGCATTAACTGCAGTTCCAGATGATTTATTCCCCTCATTTTAGAACAAACTGGAGTTGGTCTCTTTTATTTAGTTCAAACTGACAGGAGAGAAGAAGACAAAGGTCATTTATGGAGCATCAACTATTACGGAGCATGGACTGGTACATGAGCTAGGCACCATTGTGTTGGATTTTATTCTTCTTAGAGCCCTTTGAGAGAAACATTATTATCCTCATCTTACGGAGAGAGCACTCAGGCTCAGAGAGGTTAAGTAACTTGCCCAGGGACACACAGCTAGTAAGTGGCAGAGGTGGGACTTGATGTCAGGTCTCCCTTGACTCCAGAGCCCACGTCCAGAGGGCCTGTTGGAGGACAAAACTAGGGCCAGTGTGAAGGGGTGTCCCCATCCTAGTCTACTGCACAGGCATGGACGCGAGGCTTGTGCCCCGTCACGGTCCATTCACAAGCCACATCTGTGTCCCTTTGCCCTGACAGCCCCCTCGGTGGCACCCTCAGGACTCAGCGGAGGGGGTGGAGCCCCCGGAGAGCTCATCGTCAACTGGACGGTAAGCTGCAGGGACAGAGGCAGAACCGTGCCTCCAAGCTCTCTGGAGGGACACGTCCTGCCCCCCACCCGTCCCCACGCATCTCCAGATTTGCGCTGCGTGTAGACAGGACCCAGACAGGGCCGCCGTGCGGCCCCGAGTGGGGGCGGGCAGCATCCTCTCCCCTCCCCTCGCACTCACTGCAGGACTCCCCCACCCGCCCCAAGCCCCGGGGCTGCGCCGCTTGGCCGAGGCTGCGTGGGGCCGGAGGCCGGGCAGGCGAACGCCTGGCGGCCCCTCGCCCACGCCACGCTCTTGCCCCCCAGCCCATGTCGCGGGAGTACCAGAACGGAGACGGCTTCGGCTACCTGCTGTCCTTCCGCAGGCAGGGCAGCGGCCGCTGGCAAACCGCCCGGGTGCCCGGCGCCCACACCCAGCACTTCGTCTACAGCAACGACAGCGTCCGGCCCTACACGCCCTTCGAGGTCAAGATCCGCAGCTACAACCGCCGCGGGGAAGGGCCCGAGAGCCTCACGGCGCTGGTGTACTCCGCCGAGGAAGGTGCTGCTCACCCCAGGCGGTCGGGCAGCCCGCTGGCCTCATTCCCGGCCCTGGCTACCCTGTCTCCCGCTCAGGCGGGGGGAAGGAGGAGGGGGGCTCTCTGGGAAGAGAAGCGGGCTGGGGGATGCTGCGGGAACCCCCTCGTGGCCTTCATCCAGGGCCCTGCGCTCTAGAAAATCCTAAGCAAGGGCAGTCCGGATTGGCAGCGTCTCTGTAGGACACAGGGAGGCCCCGGGGAATCCAAACCCATTCTGTATCCGTCCCCAGAGCCCAGGGTGGCCCCTACCAAGGTCTGGGCCAAGGGGGTCTCATCTTCCGAGATGAACGTGACCTGGGAACCCGTGCAGCAGGACATGAATGGCATCCTCCTGGGGTATGAGGTGAGCACTGACCTGGGACCTGGGAGAGGAAGGGGGGCCGGGGCACCTCACAGCTCACTGGTCGCTCCTCCTGGGATCACTCGTTCACTGACGTGGGGAATTGCCACAGTCTGGGCGGCCCTGGGGAGGCAGCCCTAGCCAAGCGCCTGTGGCTGACGCCCAGAGCCCAGAGCCGAAGACTGAGCTGTGGACAGGCTTGAAGGGAAGTGCTTGCCTAGAGCCAGCCCTGCCTGGGCTCTCTGCGGGGCGCCAGCAAGCCAGCAGCGACGCGCACGTGTCCCTGCTGTCTTGGAGCTCATGACCTAGTGTCCGGGTTCTGAGATCCGAGACTGGGTCAGGAGGACCAGAGGGAGCAGGAGAGGAACAGGATGTCGGTGGCCAGGGCCAGGGTCAGGCTCGCCCTGAGGTGTGGGCTTGGCTGCTGACCCTAGGGGTCCCCCTGCCCCCTTCAGCTCCGCTACTGGAAGGCCGGCGACAAAGAAGCAGCTGCTGACCGAGTGAGGACAGCCGGGCTGGACACCAGTGCCCGAGTCACTGGCCTGCACCCCAACACCAAGTACCACGTGACCGTGCGGGCCTACAACCGGGCAGGCACTGGGCCCGCCAGCCCTTCTGCTGATGCCACCACCATGAAGCCCCGTGAGTCTGTCCCCTGGGGGTGGGAGGGCCTCTAGGACCACTCTCTCCCCTTTGATGAGACTAATGTTCTAGCCCACTAGCCCCGGGCTGGACAGATACAAGACAGCAAGACTAATGAAAATAGGGGTGCCTTGGTAGCTCAGTGGGGTGTCTGCCTTCGGCTCAGGCTACGATCCTGGGGTGCTGGGATCAAGCCCCGAATTGGGCTCCCTGCTCATCAGGGAGCCTGCTTCTCCCCTTCCCTCTGCTCCTCCCCCCACTCATGCTCGAATTCTTTCTCTAAATAAATAAATAAAATCTTTAAAGAAAAAAAAAAAGACTAATGAAAATAGGGAGAATTCATGGCCTCTGAAGCACCTCTCCCTTCTCCAGCCTTTGGGTTTTCATGAGGTTTGTTTCTTAGGCAGCTGTGATAGAATGTTCTGGGTTTAACGGCTGTGGGCAGACACCTAGAAAAAGACCAGCTAAGGCAAGGGGGCGGCTGGGGAGGAAACATTGGGAACATTTCTCAATTTTCTCCCTCCTCCGGCAGCCCCACAGCGCCCTCCTGGCAACATCTCCTGGACTTTCTCAAGCTCCAGTCTTAGTATCAAGTGGGATCCTGTGGTTCCTCTCCGAAATGAGTCTGCAGTCACAGGCTATAAGGTAAGGAAGGGCTCCACCAGGCACTGAGCGGTCGGGCACAGCGCCTCTGAATTTCCAGGGGACAGAGGGAGCTGCAGTGTGGAGCAAGAGGGCTCCAAGTCAGACGTAAGCAGAGTTTGGGATTGTCGGAGACACAAAATATAGGTAGCTTGCAGCAGAGACAGAAGAAAAGGGGCTGAAGGGAGGATGGTGGGAAGACAGGGCTCAAGGGGGCGGCGATGGACTAGGTGAAGTCTGAGGGTCCTTCCAGCCTAAGGAGTCTGCAAAGCTGGTTCAGCTGCTTGCAAGCTTTCCTCCCACCAGTGAGGAGCTTGTTCAAGAGCCTGGTCCGGGTCAACGGGCAACAGGAAAGGTGAGGACCAGCACCGAATGGGAACCTCCCAGTGCCCAGCGCTGGGGAAGAGAAGAATCAGAGGCTGTAAGTAAACTCTACCTTGGCTAACCTCCTCCCCACAGATGCTGTACCAGAATGACTTACACCCGACTCCCACGCTCCACCTCACCAGCAGGAACTGGATAGACATTGCCGTTCCGGAAGACATCAGCCATGCCCTGGTGCAGATTCGGACCACAGGGCCTGGAGGGGATGGGACCCCAGCAGAAGTCCACATTGTGAGGAATGGAGGTGCTGTCTCTTCCCCACCTTATCCCCCAGGAGCATCAGGGTCCGTCCGGATGCTTGATGAAGGAACCATTCCCACCCAAAACAACCCCAACTCAGCCAGACCCCCAGGGGAAAGAGGAAGGGAGGCAGGAACCGAGTGTAACCGAGTCCTGGCACGGCCCTCCCCACCACCCGTCCCCCACCCCCACACATCCCTGAGGGCCAGGGAGGAGTGAGCTCCCTTCACGGGGTACAGGGCCGGTCTCGAGACTGCAGAAGCAAAGGTCTTACAAAATGCTGTAGGAGCAGGGCTGAGAACACCTCCCAGCCCTGAAGCCGCCCTCCCCGAGTCTCCTTAGCCAAGGTTTGGATCCTGTCCTGGGGGTGGGTCGGGGGCAGGCTGACCCCAAGCCCAGCGGACACAGCCCCACTTTTCCACCTGCTGGTTTCAGGCACAAGCATGATGGTGGAGAACTCTGCAATCAGCCCGGCCCCACATCCTGGCACCATTCTCTCCTCATTGATGGTGATTCTGGTCCTCGCAGGCTACCTGGAGCTCTGATCTTGGCACCCCTCCCTCTCTGCCACAGCTGGACCGCCGCCTCTGATGGACACAGCCAGCTGGCCCTGGCCCCTTCCTGATGCCAAGGTGGCCCAACACAGGGCCTGAGAATGGCTGGCTTTCAGTACCTATTTTAAACAGTGCCCTTTTTTGTAGGAGGTAGGATATTTCATATTCTGCCGCAGGATAGAACCCGTACAAGGATTTCTTTTTCTTTAAATCAAAAGACACCAGGCAGTAACTTCCATGATGATACTGAGCCCTATGCCTGGGCCCTCTGGGGCGCCTGGACGGAAGGAACAGGCCCACGGGAAGAAGGGGGTTTGAAACACATATCGGCACATCGGGGAAGATGGCGCTCTGGTCCCGCAGACGCACTCCGCCCCCTGGGAGCAGAGTGCCTGGCCCAGTGGGAACACTGGACACCAATGGGCTGCAGTAGGACAAAGCATAAACATCAACGTCCCTCAGTCTAAGGATAGAGCCAGACCCAGGACCAAAAACTCCCCTACTTTCCCCAGGGGCCGCACAGCTGGACCCTGACATTGTCCTCGATGCCCCCTAGAGGCCCCTGCCACCTACCCAGGTGGCTGAAAACCAGTGCGCCAGAGTCTGAGGCCAGGAGCCTGAGTCCCTGCAGCTTTGGGGGATGATACTCCAGACTGCTGAGGGTGGGAGCTCAAAGGGATTGAGAGGCTGGGACACTGGGTAGAAAGGGGCACCAGACTTGGCCTGAGGCATAGTCCCAAGGCAGGTGATGCTGCTGTCTTAGCCAACACTGCCAACCTGACCCTGTCACCCCCAGAGTGACAGAAGCCACCACCGGTGGCCGAGTGACTAAAGGGCTTATCTTGGGGAGGTCCCCCCACCCCACCAAAACCCATCCAGCACGGCTCCTCCAGGGTGTAGGCAGGAGATGGGAGACCGGGCTCATGCGCCCACCCCCTGCCTCCCGCTGGGCCTGCGGGCCCCGGGCCCGCCGCTCTCCAGCACTGACTCGCACAGCCTGGGGACAGGAGGGCGGCCTCAGTTCTGTGCGTTCTGCAGTCGGGAGTCTTCCCAGAAGGGCCAAGGATACCTGCGGCCCTACCTGCTCCCAGGAATGCCCTGGGCCACCTGACCAGACCTGTCGCCCAGGCCACCTCCGACTGCTCTTTTGCATTTCCCCCGGAGAAAAAGGCATTAATAAATCATGCGCTCTGGGTACATTCCCAGTCACGGGACAACAGAGCTGGAGGAGGCTTTCGAGCTCGACCTGCCCTAGCCCCTCACTTTACAGATGAGGAAACGGAAGAGTGAGGGACTTCCCAAGGTCACACAGCCTGTCCTACCTTCCTATTCCGGGCTGTCTGTCCAGAGGAAGGGGGCAGCGCTGAATGGCTATGGCCTGGTTAAGAAGGTCTTAAGAAAGGTGGTGGGCTATGACAATTCTGCTTCAGGAGGTTCAGGTGGGTCATCGTGGGGTGACCAGCATGGCTGGGTCCCCGCCCGAGGCATGGGCCAATGCCAGGAGACGTCGGTCCTTCGCCTTCCAAGCCGAACTTCTGCTGGGCCCTCGACATGCAGTGCTGGCTTGAAGCCCCCTGCTGCCCTTACCCTGGCTCCAAGGGGCCAAAGCAAGGACAGGGATTCCCCAAACCCAGGCAGCAGTGGTGACACAACCAGGAAACCCCAAAGCCCATGCTCTGACAGGTGGCCCTTCACTTACGGGAGCAGCGAGACAGGCATCTCGTAAGGGACAGGCCTGTGGAGGACCTCAAAGCCTGGCTTCTGTAGTTTACAGTTAGAGCTCTATTTTGTTATGGGTTTTTAACTTTTAAGTCCTGCTCTGTTTTCCTGGGCAGGTTTCTGTTGATGTTTACCCGCTACAATTTTGTTAAAATGTCAGCTCACACCACTTCTCCGGGCCACCGCTGCACCCACCACTCCGGCCCCGGCCCGGGACCGCCTCCCTGGAGCCACTGACCAAACCCTCCTCACCTGCTCCTATCCATCCTCCCCTCCCCCTAGGCGAGGTGCTGGGGGCTCAGCTAAGTGACCACATGCTGAACAGAGACCCCAAATGGTCTAGCACCCTTCCTGGTCCCCCGTGGCTGGGATCCCGCCTGTCCCCAGCTCTATCAGAAAGGGGATGCTGAGGGTAAAAAACAACAAAAAAAAACCTTCTAAGGCTTAGCTGAGTCTTTCCTCACTGCCTCGGGCTGTGGCAGGGGAAGCAGGAGGACGGGTGTGTAGATGCTGGGGCGGGAATGATGAGCCGCTGTGCACGGGGCCCAACAGGGAGCGGGAGGCTGAGGTCCCTGAGCTTGCTTCAGGCAAAAGGCACTCGTGACTAAGAACCTTAGTTCTAATGAGGCCCCTTGGCAAAGGGGAGGAGAGCAGACCGTCTGGAAAACCTAGCAAGGGCTTTTAACTAGGAAAACTCAGCCCAGGAAAACCTCACCAGAACTTGTCCGGGGGATGCAGAGCTGTCTGGAAACTCATGCACCTGCAGCCTCAGATGTCAGGCAGAGGACGGATTCGGGTTCAGTAAGACAGTGGGTGACTGCAGGACATGCAAGCGCATAAAATAGAATAGCCCCCAGCTGAGGTGGCTTACACAGAAGAGCCCCTTCCTGCCCGGGGGCCTCTGATTTCCACCTTCTCTGCTCACACAGGCTGAGTCTCGCCCCTGCTGTGGTCAGTACTCGATTCTGGATCTCTCCTCTCCCACACACCAAGCCCCAGAGGAGGCGACAAGGGGGACAGCCACAAAGAAGTCCTTTACCCACAGCTTAGTGGCCAGTAAGTGCCTTGAGGACTAGGGACAGAGACAGCCTGCAGACACGGCCTCAGGGCTGCGGGGAACGGTCTCTCCTTTCTGCCTACGTTTGGGCTCAGCCTACAGGGGGCCCTCTGCCCCCTGGTCTTGGCTACTTGGTCCTTGTTGCTCTAACAGTCTCGATGTATACCTTGCCCTCAGGCAGACAGGAGCTCTCTCCAGCTCGGGTCTTGGGGGCCAGCAAGGTCAGGCTATCCACTTGCATTCAGGTCGTCAAATGACAGAGATGGGCCGGGGAACGGAAAAGCCATGAGGAGGGGCTCTTTTTCTTTTGATAAAATAACAGAATCTGAGGTCCAGCATCAGGAAGAGCTTCTGCAGGGAGAGCCCGGGATGAGGGATGAAGAGGCTGCTTCCTCTTCTAGGGGCCTCTGGGGAATTCTGACAGCTGTCGGTCTGGGGTCTAAGCCCGGTGAAGTCTGGAGGGTGAGGAGATGCTGTTGAGTGTCCTTGCAGGACCGCGATTCTGCGGTCAGCACAGGAAGAGTCTTGGCACTCCTTCCCGCCGTGGCCCCTTCCCATAGGTGTAGTGACCACAGTCACTGTCACCAAGTGGGGAGGCTCACCTCGGGCACTCCTGGGCGGCAGACGGTGCCTCTTGGCAGCCCCAGGGGCCGTGGAGGCTCCTCAGGGCAAGAACCCAAGCTGGCTAAGGATGTTTCACTCCCTTTCATCTCCTCCCCACCTAGAGGACTCTCTTTTCTCTTCCTGGCTCAGAATGTGACCGCCAACCAGAGGGTAGTGCTGGCGGGCTAGGGGTATCCTCAAACCTGGTTCCGAGGCCCAGGTGTGGTGCCGTTTCCCCAGGTCAGACCTAAGCGGGGCTTCGTCCTGGGATGAACAAGGTTGCCCGAGAGGCTCCTGGAGGGGTGTGAGGGATTAGATGGGCATCCGTAAGGGACTTCTAAAAGCTGCATGGGAAGAGGGGCCTGGTAGCTGTATATATGGTCATAGGCTTTGAGAAGGCAGGAGAATACAGGGAAACTGGAGAGGGGGGGGAAATAGGCCAGATAACTTTGCCTAGAGCCCCAGGGAGCCTCGCGCCCTTCGATGGGGTGCACCCTGCCCTGGCCCCCAGACTCCAACTTACCCAGCCCCATCCAGGGCCTGCAGGCTCACAGGCTCACGGCTGGGCGAGGGCTAGGGCTCCATCAGACCCCCCTGACTCGACCCCGTTCTTGTTGAAATGGAACCACTTCCACTGGCCTATTGTTCGTCTCTCTTGTACTTCTGATGGTAGTTACTTATTGACTCTGGTAGCAGGCAGTTCTTAAATAAAGATGATTTCTCAACGTGCTGGGGCAGTGGGCACCTGCTGTGGGTGTTTATCATCAGGCTAGAGCGCACGGTCCGTCCTGTTCTCTGGCCCAGGCCCGTCGCCAGCGCCCGCCCCCCTTCACACGGTCAGCTCGAAGGAAGTCACAGCACACAGTCCCCTCCTGCGTCGCGCAGGCCTGGGACAGGGGAGAATGAGGCCAAGGAACTGTAAGGCAGGCCCAAGCAGAACCCGCGCAGGCTCTACCCAGCACAGGGGCGCAAACGGTGCTTCAGGCTTCCCTGGCTTTTCAGACGTTTGACAGCAGTGACAACGGTACCAAAGGGAAGCCTTCCCCCCCGCAGGGACACAGTGACCCCCACCTAGCAAGAAGGTGCCAGGAGGCTGTGAATCCCTACTCACATTTGACAGCGGCCACATTCTCTCCTGCACTCAACACACACTCATCAGGCCTCCCTTACATCTGAGACACACGCGCACGGTTGACACATGTGCACAGCCCTGCGAGTGCTCGAGTCTTTCGGTGCAGAACAGGCAGGGCTCCGTGCCGACTGCGCCCTGGTGCCCCTGTCCGGGAAGAAGGAGATGAGGGTGAGCAGAGCCCCTGCCCCTCGGGGCTGAGCTACATGCCCAGGGCCGACGGGGAGCCCCCAAGAGGGGCCGGCCCGAGGGCAGCAGGACGGTGGGCTAATCCCTTCCACCTTGCACCTAGAGGGGCTGCTGGGAGCACCGGCCAGTCGGGAACCCAAATTTTAGTCAGCATGTGGTTCACCCTCTCTCCAGAGGCAGATCACACGCACAGAATTCAATGAACTGGACGGAGTTCCTGTCTTTACGGACACATCGGAGGGTTTGGGGTGTTTGTTTTCCTCCTCCTGTTCAATCCCTTCATGGTCTCAGAGCCAAAATTTCAGAGCCCCAAGCACAGAGGGCTGTGAGCCCAGAGCTCCACAGGCTCCCACCACACGCGTCCTGCTGGCTTGCGACAGGCGCCGGCCGAGCTCCTCACCCCCTGCCTCGGGTCTGGCTCTGTGGCTGTAAAATGGGGATCTGCCCCCGTCAGTCATGATCTATGTGTATCGGGGACACTAAAAGGGCCTAAGGGCATGACTCCCCAGTGGCCGTGAGCACACCTAGCACCCAGACCTTGCCTCCTGAATACTACTCCCCACACTAAAAGGGAACCAGAATCCCTTGGAGAAACAGCAGGTTTGGGTTTGGAGAAAACAAAGTCCAAATGTGGATCTAAGGCATCTTGTTATTCTAGAAAGCAAGGACATGCTCCAGGTCAAATGGGACCACAACAAAAGGACGAAAAGAGCTGGCTTGAAGAGATTCCTACCAGCCAAAATTGGGGACAACTTAAACATCAAAAATAGGACAACAGTCATGGATTATATATAATTCACTGAAAAAGAGAATCCATGGAGCATCCTCAAAAATAAAAAGAGCAGCTGTTCTTTACAGAAAAATGCAGGCTAATGAATATAGTCAAGGAAGGGCATGTTAGCGTTGCCATTCTACAGTTCCCGGCAGGCAATAGGCAAGGATCACGAATGGATTCTAAGGCGTTAATGGTTATTAGGAATACCACAAAGTATCCCCCCCCCAACAAATTACTAATTACAAGAGGAAAAAATATACACCTTTGAAGAGACCTGGCAGTCAGCACCTTAACCAAATCACCACACTTGTTAGCCGTGAGTCACCCTGACACCGTGTGCCTGAGGTGATACAAGGAGCACACACCGTTTGCAGGCGGCTATGGTCAAAACTGTGGAAGATCTGTTCCTCAGGAATCTAATCGGGGGACAATCATGACAAACCTGGATGGTGCGTCACTATCCAAGACAACCGGCTTGGCTTGACTCTTGGATAAAATCAGTGTCATGAACAACAACAAAAATGCAGGTCTGTTGTAAAATAAGACTTAAGAGAAACAACCAAATGTATCATGTGAAGCTTCACTTGATCCTGGATCAACAATTAAAAGGCTCTTAAGATTTTAGAAGCCAGGAAGATGAAGTATCAATCATACGTAAGATTAGGGAATTGTTAATTTTCTGAGGTGGGATGAAGATACTGTAGTCCTACAGGAGAACGTCTTTATTAGCAGATGCGTACATGATTTTGGAGTAAAGGGTCACAAAGTCTGTGACTAACTCACAAGTGGTTCAGTAAAATCAGCATCTATTTAGAGAGAAAGATAAACATAGAAAAACATTCACAACTGGCGAATCTAAGTAGAGGATCTATGGGTTGTCATCAAATTTTTCTTTCCACTTTTCTATGGGGTTGAAATTATCTTAACTGTTTTTTTAATTAAGTTCTACGCCCAACATAGGGGGTCGAACTCAACCCCGAGATCAAGAGTCGCAGATTCCAACTGAGCCAGCCAGGCGCCCCTGAAATTATTTTTAACAGTAGAATAATAGAGAGCCATTAGCCATAATTTAAACTGAGTTATTAGGATCCTCGGGGTTGGGGCTCAGGAATCTCATTCTTTAAAAGCTCATCCGGGTGATTCAGACACACAGAGAAAGGACCACTAGAGTCCAAGTCTTCACATCTACCCCACGTCTGCGGCTAGAGAAAAAGTAAGGGGAAGAAATGCTCCAAATTCTCTCAGAATTAGCTCAGCTGGTGGCCAAGAGCCTTTTCCCTGACAATCCCATAAGCCAATTATCATCTCACACAGTCTGAATGGCCCCTGAGAGTCTTAGGACTGATTTCCTATGGAGGTAGGAAGGTCTTAGTCCTTCCTTGGGCAGCCTTGGCTGCTCGAAGAAACTAATACACTTGATTCTCCAGGAACACATGCTTCAGGGCATTGGAAGAACAAGGAGGATAGGAGCAGGGAGCAAGTCGAGGAACTGTTCAGGGGAAACCTACCAGACGTGAAGAATCCAGTGTTCCACCAGGAATCAATTTAACACCACACACAGAGGGTTCGCCCAGGGAGTACAGAAGAGGCAGACAACTTATTAACATTTAGTGACTGTTAACATACCCAGGTCAGATGTCATTACTAACAGCCCTGGCTCCGCCACAAGAGGGCATATGCCCTCCTACAAAGCAATGTGTGCAATGTCTCTTCTAAGAAATCGGAGGAAAAGGAAAGCTAGACAGATTATGGGACAATTTAAACAGATGCAAGAGATTTTTAACTAAAGAGTAGAGAAGCAGCTACTATGAATGATTTTTATTGAAGAGGAAAAAAAGGTTTCCACTAGAAAAGCTATTAACACGTCGTTCTATGTGATTATACTGCTCAGAAGGGACAGAGGTGGAGAGGCATCAAGTTGTAAGAGATAGTGAATGCAAACCCGGAAGCTAGAGCTCTTCCCAGGAGCAGCGGCGGTGCCTACAGTTAGGCTTTCTGGGGGCCTAGTGGCAGGAAGATCAGGAAGAGATCCATCTGGAGTACTGCCCATCGCGCCACCATGATGTTGCCCCTCTCCATGTGCCCCTCTCACTCCTTTGGCGGTGGAAGCCCTCCCTCCTAGCCAGGCCACAATCAGACCACCAGATACTCCTTTAAAAAGCTAGCCTGGCTTCCTGAACAGGCCCAGCAGGTTCCTGGGCAGCCAGCCTTTCCGGAGGGAGGCTCTGAAGGACTCAAGGCCAGTACTGCTGTAGATCAGCCTCAGCCCACTGCCCAGGGCAATGATCACCAACACACCACCAGCTACTCCACTGGTAATCCCTATTCCCAAAGCTACAGCCACCTTCTTTTTCCATGGTGGGCCGTGAGGCTTAGAACCATTGTCCAGATTCACTTCCAGGCCCTTATCGACTAACTTCTGATGCTCAGTAAGGGACTGATGGAAATTCAGGTTCACCAAGTTAGGAGGAAGGACCCGCAGCCCAAAATAGAGCCTCTTGACAAACCTCAAGTTTCTTAACAGCTGCACATCACACCGGTATGTCCCAGAGTCATACTCCTGAATAGACTCAAACCTCACGAAGTGCGAGCTGGCCCGGAAGGGTTTGAAGATTTCATCATCAGTTGAGATGATACCACGAGCAAGTCGCCAGGTGAACCGGAAAGCTTCCCTCCCCACCTCCAGGATGTCTGAACTCAGGCAGCTCAGCTCGAACTCCTTCCCTGTGAGAACGGTGAAATGGAGCATCCCACAGATCCAGTTGGTCAGACATTCTAAGCGCTGAGACGTACACTTCCTTCTCACGCCATCAGGGCCCACCTCGCAGACGGTCTCCTCCTTGTAGCCAAGGCCACAGGTGACCGTGCAGCTGGTGGCATTGACAATAACCTTCCCCACGGCTTGCTGCAGTTTCTTTGGGATGGCCAGTGTTTTTGGTAAAGTCACCACCAAAGGCAGACTAAAGGCCAACACCAGGCTCCCGAGGAGGAAACCAGCGGCCGAGGTCCTCATGTCTCACCTCCGTCAGCCGGCCCCCGAAGTGTCCCAGGTGAATCCTCTATGGCGTCACTTCGTTCCCTTGACACGAGCTCTCCTTCAGCGTCAAAACACAGGATGCACTCGTTGTCAATGAAACACTGCAACTTGATCAACACAAATCCAGTCCTTATGAACAGATGAGGCCACAGGCAGGGAAAAAGTCACCACGTTGCTGCTTGACTAGCTCTTGCTTGTCGGTGACCACCTCACCAGTCCTCATTCTGTCCACGCCCTTGTAATGAACTTCAATCCACCCTCTCGGGAAGACAAAGGTGGAAGAGATTTCAGCTTCTGAAGTCAATGTCCAAATTACTTCAAATGCATAGCAAAGCTATTCTTCCTCACCCCTGCCTCCCCTCTCCGAACTGTAGGATCCAAATTAAAGGGCTTCGAAACCCCAGTTAAATCTGGCCAAGAAATCAAATACCAGGTCTAAAAAAATAAATAAATAAAAGAGGATTACCTTGCATTAAGTTATTATTGACTTCACAGTCTCCTAGACCCTTCTGTAAAAAAGAATTAAGAACTACGGACTGGAAGCCAAGTGATCAAACCTTCCTGAATTTCTATTTCCTCCTTTGTAAATTAAGACCACCTGGCCTACTTCAGGAGGGTCACTTTGGGCAATAAATGATAAACTGTACATGAAAACACTTTGTAAAGTGTGAAACACTGTTCACAGGTAAGGAATTTTAAATAGAAATGAAAAATTCATGAAGACAAGGACCGAGCTGCCCTTTTAGAATCCAAATGTTTATCCGCAAGAGAGGCGATACCCAATACAGCCCCTCTCCCCATTCTAGACACTCTTCCCTCCCAAGGGCACTGAAGGTATTTTTTTTGGGGGGGATACATAATCCTGCCCACCTCTCGGCCTACTCCCTTACCTCCACAGAACAGAGGAGCTCATCATTCACTTGGGTCAAGGTTGCTATGAAACAGCTATGACGTCAAAGACAGATTCTTAGTCCCAGAACAAAAAACAAAAAACAAACCAAAAAAAAATGAGCGGTAGACACTCAAGATTTGACAATGATTAAAACCAAAGACTTAAATAGACTTTGAGTTTGAAAGCAATTTAATCTAAGGGGGAAAAAAAAAGTCAAATAAAGAGGAATTTAACAGTACTTACATTTTAAGAAAGATCCTTGGAAGGGAGGAATGCCCTCAAATGTGTTTTTGTAACATCCAGAATATCCCCCAGCACCGTGGCCTCTGCCGAGTACTTACACACACTTATGGCGTTAAAGAATCTGGAGAGGGATCATTCCTAGATGATCTTTGTGGTATAACACCAACTCTTTGCTTGATTCATTCATTTATAATCTTGTCCAGAACTGTGGACTCCCCGAGCACCCCCTACTCCTCCCAGGTCTGCATCTTTGCACAGAAAGATCTAACATCAGTACAGTAAACTGCATTACCTGTCCTACAAATTAAAGGGGCTAGTGAGTTTCAGAAGCAGCATCCACAAACCAACATCCACACCTGTTCTTTAATAAACATCCGATTTTATTTACAAAGCATTAAAGCTTCAGCAAGAAGTAACCCAAGGCTAAGTCTCGTCTTGTACAAAACTATGGAACATTAAAAAAATGAAATGGCGGGATGGGGCGGATGGGGGGGAGGAATGACAAAAGAGAATACGCATATATTGTACATATTGAGAAAAAAATCAAACTGGATAGAAGGTTTCAGGAGCTGAAAAAAATTCCCAAAGCATAAATAATTATTAGGAAGTGCTGCCAGACACCATCTGGCAGGGCTGAAGCTGATCTTCTCAGGAGCCAGTCGAGGAGGTGTCCGGACATGGCAGAAACATCCCAACACACAGGCAGAGGACACCGAGCTACTCTGCCCCTGTAAGTAGGGCAGAGACCTTCTGTATCACAGTTTGTGCAAGATCGAGATCGCGGTGCACGTCCACAGAGAAATGGAATGGAAACAATGTGTGCAAAACAAAAAACCCGTCCAGTGAGCCACCTGCCAATCTCAACCACTGGTAGGATGTGAAATAAGAAATGAAATTCACAAAATGAGCATTTAAGGAAAAAAGCCGAAAAAAGCCGTGGTGGCTAAAAATACAGGCATTTCGCAACTGACTCAGGGGGAGCTCTTACTTCAACTACGGAATATTTTGGTTCTAAAAGATGGAGCAGGAGAAAGAGGCTCTTCCTGATGTAAGTCTACTTTGATTGCTATCCTAAAATCCCAAAGGTAACCCACTCGTGTGGGGCTGCCCACAGGAGCACCCAGCTGTTGGCGGGACTCTCCCCGGAGGATGCCGCACCGACAGCCCAGGTCAGCTAAAAGCTCTGCAGAGAGTCCTCTCCACACCTGGGACTCTGGGTTCAGAGAATTCTCAGAGAATTTCAAACACCTCATGTACACGTCCATCCTATCTGCTACTTTGTATATAAAGAACAGCAAAAGCAAGGAGCAGGAAGTAAAAAAATTTTTTAAAAAACTAAGCAACCTTTCACAGAAAGGAAGAGACTGAAAACATGTCGTACGGAGGAGCGGGGATACAAGGGGAAAATGTCACAACAAAAGGGAAGGGACAGAGATCCACACGCGATAAAAAAAAATTTTTTTTCCTTGATCTTTGATTTGAACTGTGTTGTTGCTGCTTTGATTGTGGACGGTTTGACTTTAGTCCTTGCATAGATTCCCCCACCCCAATAAAAAAGAAGCTCGTGGAGAGACCCCTTGGTTTGTTTCCCTCTCTGGACACCAGCACAGGTGAAGCAATATGAACTACTGATGATTCTTTGCTGCAGATAGATGAAACTCGCTATCTTCAAAAACCATGATTAATGAGAATGAACCACTACTGGAGGAAAACATGCAATGGAAGGAAAACAAAGAAAAACCCTGACCCTCTTACAGCCCAGCTTCTGGAGCAAAATTGGGTATGCCAAGAAGAGGGGGCCTTTCTTCTCTTTCTTCCCTTTCTGAAAACTTGAAAGCTTTCGAGCACTTTCTTTTCTGCCCATCCTCTGTACACAATAGGGAAATATAGGAGGTATCTGGTGAGAGAGTTAAGTTTAAAAATGGAAGACAGAATATGCAACAGAAGTTTTTCTAGGATACCGGCAGCAAAACTTCAGATGAGAGTAAGTCACTCGAGGACATGCACGGAGGATGGAAGGCAAATAGGATAGGAAATGTCAGGTCAAAATGATCCTGGGCACAATAGTTAGATGAGCAAAACTGGTCTCTTTTCTCCAGCCACATAACTAAGCACTGAAGTCTGAATGAGTCAAAACTCCTGTTTGATGTCTTCACAAATCCTCATTCCTGAGAGCCTATTTGGACTTATGCTTGAAAGGGAAGGGCCGTGTACTCTTCTTCCATAATTCACTTCGTCATTCAAATATACGATGCACTCCTTCCACCTCCTGGGTTGGAGGGAGAGGCCTTTGTTTTAAATTAAAGTCAATCTCAAATGACTGACCACAGTGTCCAGAGGCCACATGATGCCAAAGTGGGGAAGAACGAAGAACTTCAAGCGTCTTCATAACAGTTCTGAGATTGCTCCCCCTGCTAAAGAGATGAGACACAAAAAAGACGTCTTTTAGCATCAACCTGGACCAGCAGCGTGCATGACCAGAAACACTGACCGATGCTGGATGATGCCTGACACGCCCACATGCGCTAAGAATTCCCCCTTTAAGTTAAAACCAATGCAACTCCCATTTACTCTTTACTGAAGCAACAAATAATCCAAATCCCAAACTCCCATCCTACTACTTCCCTTAGTACTGCCCCAAAGGTGAAAAAAAGGCAAAATGATCAGAGTTCTACACATTTTCTAAGCTGCTAACCATTCTCCAACATGTTGATAAATGCTTTATAATCCAAGGAGTGCAGTAAGTAGAGGAAAGGAAATTCTAGGGTGCTACTTCTCTTCATCTTTCATATATTAGATTAACGACTCACTAAATAATTAACAATGAGCAAGAGACCCTTTTCCAAGCACCCCTGGGCCTTAACTGACATTCTCCTCACCTTAGAATCCCAATATGGTGAAATGTTAATGAAACCTACTGCCGGCATTTCTATGTGCCAACAACTGATCAGTAAATAAAATCCTCAGTAGTAAAATCAAATGAACACTTCCCTGATTATTCCATAGAAGCTGTTCAACCTCTGAGGGACATCCTTAAATAGGCTGCTGTGAAATATTAACTAGGAAGTGTAAGAAGAGAACAAGGTGAAGAAAATCCTCCCAGATGTCATCGGAATTGGGGTGGGGGGTGCGGGAAATATGCCACTTGAAGGTATAAAATCGTTAAAAAATAATTGTCCCAGTTATGAAAGAAAAGTATCCACTTCTAAACTTTGCTTTTAACCTGATTTTTAAAGTAAAAGTTCAAGCACAGATGAAAACAGGCAATAAAAATATATTCCCATTTGTCTGAGGACAGATGAGAAATTAGGAGATATAAACTCTTCTGGACGCTACATTGTTAAAAATCAAATTTAAACTTTATACATTTGAGTATGAGAAAAAGTTTCTTTAGCACTTGCTTTTCAAAACATAACTTCTTGATTTTTTATTTTTTTAATTTTTATTTATTTTTATTTATTTTTTAGATTTCATTTATTTATTTGACAGAGAGACAGACAGCGAGAGAGGGAACACAAGCAGGGGGAATGGGAGAGAGCGAAGCAGGCTTCCTGCTGAGCAGGGAGCCCCACGCGGGGCTCGATCCCAGGACCCTGAGATCATGACCTGAGCTGAAGGCAGATGCTTAACGACTGAGCCACCCAGGCGCCCCATTGATCCTTGCGGTGGGGGAATCCACTCCACAGGGCGCAACACCATGCCTTTACCGCATTAAGGCCAATCTGACTGAGTGTTCCCACAGGTACCCTGATCAATCTTCTCTTAGCCGTTTAAAAATGAACACACCACTAACGTTTTAAGCCTAAATCACGACAGGAAAAACTGGTTTGATCACAAATCAATAGTATTAATAATGAGCACTCAAGACGACTAATGAGGTACATTATACTGATTATCTGAGGTCAGTTAATGTTTCAGTATAGTTCTCATTCACATGGACAGACCAAAATAAGTAAGTAAGTAAAGGCTTGTCAAGGCATCAGGTAACAAACCAAAACCACAGCCAGCAATACTACTATGAGTAGATAAAATAAAGAGCAACAGCAACACAAGAGAAGAGCTCCAGGCTATTTAAAATTCTGCCCCGAGGATCCACAGTATTTTGCTGCAACATAAAGGAAATCGCCAGTAACATAAAATTAAGAAAAACTGGGCTCATGATGAGCTGTTACTGGTCCTCCCGACGGCAGCCAAAGCTAAGGTGGCCTAAGAAAACGCTGGATATGAACTCTCAAATATTACCTTAGTCCGCTAGTAAGATCACAAAGAATGAAAAAGAATATCTACTAGCTATCTGATTTTAGTAGGAGTTCATGAATTAGTCTTTGAAAGACTGATCATTTAAAAAAAAGAGAGAGAAGAGGTGGGGAAAAAACCCCCACTCCCTACCAAGCACTCAAAACAATGGGATCGAGGAGGTGGCTCAGAGGCCTGGGGTGGTGGCCGGCACCAGGAGGGCGGTGGCACAGCCACACGCAGGGAAATCCGCATGGCGTCCATGCGCCCCCAGAAGTAGCACCTCTGCTCACTTTGGCCTTTGCCACCCCCAGGAGACCCAGGTATATACCAACCACTTCATGCCACCTTTCCAAGAGCCCTTTAGACCATGTATGTGATGGGCCACAACTCTGTCACACTTGCTACTGATGACATTTACTGCCAAGAAGCCCTAATTCCTGGGCAATCCTTGAGCCCTCACAGGACAACAAGGACCCTGCTGGTTCTGCTCAATGTCAAGTTTCTGTTCTGAGGACTGTACTCTGGAGAGAATCTAATAAGGAAATTTAGGGGAATCACATAGATGGTGCTGATGTTGATCGGGCCTTTTCGAGAAGTCCCAAGCTCAGGGCTATCCTCACTAAGTAAGCTTCCCCTGATGGGTCCTCACTCATCAGAGAGGGTGTGTCTTCATGGGTGTGGGTCCACTGATGCTAGCTAAGACCAATGAGCTGTTTGATAGGGAAGAATTTTCTGTAGCCCCAGATTCCAGATGGCCAGATTATTTCTATAGCAGTCTAGGTGTCTTCCAACCTTCCTGCATAATCTCCTACAGCAACGTCCAAAAGACCGTAGCAGCTTTGTCAGGGCCGGTGAAGGCTCATGCAAGAGCTCCTTCCATAACTGGTCAACTGCAGATTTTAACAAACAGTTGCCATTTATCTAGGCTGAGCAACAACACAGCCTGCACCTATAATTCCTTCAAACAATTTAGCTCTAGGGGCGCCTGGGTGGCTCAGTCATTAAGCGGCTGCCTTCAGCTCAGGTCGTGATCCCGGGGTCCTGGGATCGAGCCCCACATCAGGCTCCCTGCTCTGCGGGAAGCCTGCTTCTCCCTGTCTCACTCCCCCTGCTTGTGTTCCCTCTCTCGCTGTGTCTCTCTCTGTCAAATAAATAAATAAAATCTTTAAAAAGAACAACAACAACAATTTAGCGCTGATGGAAAAGTAGGGCACTGGGGCAGAGGCGAGATCCACAAAGCCTTGAATCTGCAAATACAACCTCCAGACGGAACTGATTCTTGAAGACGCTTCAACCTCAGGCATTCTGGATCAAGTTTCGCTTCTTACTATCTCCCGGAAAATCTACAATGACTGCATACCGCTTTTCATGGAAAATCTGAGGTGTGGAAGGAGACAGAACTCAACTGCCGAAGAGGTTTTTTTCACCTCAGTGGCCTTTGCAGGGAGAACCAAATGAAAATCAGCATGTGGCAGCCAACCTTTGCCCGCTCTGGACCCTGCAGGCCGACCCCGGCCTCTGCTCCAAGAATCCCACACAAAAGGTATGATAGGTTGTCCCGAAACTCAGACGTCTGACGGAGTTATAAGACACCCAGTTTCACCGTCTGTGATGTGCAGCCTCCACAAAGCTCCAAGCCACACAGGGTGCAGCCCTTCTGAGAAAGTCGTGGAAGCAAACCACAGTGCCCCCGCTTTGAGGTTTTTTTAAAGATCCTGCTCCTCAGCACTCTGGTTTAACCCGGCCACTGCAGTTTTGGAGATGTCCATTCAGGCAAAGGTCAAGGAACAGGGCCAGAGGAGCAAGGAGAAAATGGGAGGAAGGAAGTATAGTTTACATGGGGAAGGATGCACTGCACACAGTCACGAGAAGCTGGTGGGATGTTTGCATCATCTACGCAGTTGCTCTGCGTGTGTGTCGTCAGAAAAGGTACCATCGCCCTGGCCTGTATGCGGAAGTCTCCTCCAGTCCCTTTGGAGGGTGAAGCTGTTAAAACAGCTGCCTCTCGTGCTCGCTTCGGCAGCACATATACTAAAACAGCTGCCTCTCTCTAAGGCTGATCAACTCAAGCACCCAATAAAAATAATGCACAAAGTGAAAGTCCAGTTTACAGCACCTGCTCAGGATACAGGTTCTAGCCTTTACTGAGGTCAGAACCTCATTTAATCTTGTCAGCAAAGTGAGCAGGAATACACTTCTAATAGGTCCTAGATCCTGGTATGCACTCTTGCTAGGAGCTTTGAAACACTGACTTCTAATGCTGAAGTATCTATTTCACACACAGTTCAAAATTTCACTGTGAGCTATTCAATATTTTGAGAATTTCAGGAAATAAAAATGGCTGAGTAAACTTTCCGACATTTGATTTTGACTCTCATTTAGACATTTTTGAAGTATAGCTGGGAAACACCACTGCTCTTATACTCTTGAGCTTAAAATCTAACAGCGGCTCATGGTGTCTCTGACAGAAACCCAAGTGGGGAAGGCCAGAGATACTTACTTACTGCTAGTGACCGCATCAATTATAATTAAAAGTTGAAATCACTGTATTAAAGAGAGGAAAATGTGAATTTTCAAAAACTTTTAAATGGTTTATATGCCATACACATACTGTTAAAAAGCAAATGATTAATTACTGGCAGGTTCTGAAGAAGCTAGGAGACTATGTCCTACAGTATTTCAATTAATTCAGTATGTCTGGCCACATTTTATTTTAAGTAGGCCTCATGCCCAGGGTGGAGCCCAATGTAGGGCTTGAGCTCACGAACCTGAGATCAAGACTTAAGCTGAGATCAAGAGTGGGACACTTAACTGACTGAGCCACCTAGGCATCCCTCTGGCCGTATTTTAAATCATCCTGAAGCATTTCAGCTTTTTAAGCCAGAGGAATCTACTGAAATTTAAACCGTGTTTTTCTATAGTGGCACCAGCTTGTACAAAAAATAGGTTATGGAGGGATCATTTTTTTTTTACATCAATCAATTACTGACCTGCAATCTTTGTTGGCAATGGCCATGTAACTCTTCTCAGCTATTCTAAAATATATAGAGAGCCTTAAGTGTACTGAACGTGGAGGTACAAACTGGTATTCAGTGGAACACCACAAATACTGCTGTTGAGGAAAACATGTTGGTGGCTCAAGTGTCATGTGTTGGCTGTGAACACCTAAAATCTAAATCCAGTGCATGTGAGGTGGAATTACTCTAAATGAGTAACTGAGTAGGCTTTAGCTTCCCAACTGAAGAGAATTCCCATTCACACGATTAACTGCAGGTGTACCTCAAACAAGGAACTCAGTTTCACCGTCTAGTCATGTGTCCCATCAGCACACTGGGGGTCACACCCTAAAGTTGAAAATTTTAAAGCAAGTGGGAAAAAACCTGAATACAACCACTGGTATTTTCCCAGTCCTATGTCTGAGTCTACTGAGCTAGCCGCAGGATATTCAGACCACTGTATTCACTAAAGTAGTGCTCATATACAGAACATTTTCCAAAAGCCCAAAATGTTTGAATACAAATGGACTCCATTTGATTACTGTTTTCCAAACAAGAGACCATCTAGCCTACATTCACAAGTACTTGATAGGAAATTCAAATTGTTCTCCGTCCCCCAATAAACTCCCTCCATCATATAAAAGTGACAAAACTCAGGAAGTTTCAAAGGTGTAGGTGTTAAGAAGCTACACGGATACTGTAATTGCTGTCTTTTTGGTAATAATCTCCTACATGGAAAAACATTTCACCTTCTTCTTTAACATGCTGGTATTACTGACAAGTTTTTTGTTATTGCTTCTAGACTACGGAGAGAGAGAACCACCACCTCTGGGATTTGAATAGTTTAAAGAAAGACAAAACACTACAGTCAGGGTTGTATAAAGCAAACTTCTATTTCTGGTAATCTGTCTGGCTCTTTCATTTGAGGCAAAACAAAACAAAAAAATCTAGAAGCAAATACAGGCAAAGAAATGAATTAAACCAGGGGTTCTTACCCTTTTGGGGGGCCATGGATTCCTACAGGAATCTGATGAAAGCTATGGGCATATCTTCCCCACAAAAATATTCACATAGTATTTTGTATATAATATCAAGGGAATATAGATCCCCTGAGATCTACTGATGGACCCAAGGTTAAGAGCCACTGAATTAAGCCAAATCTGGTTTAGCCTACCCTTGATGGCAGCCTAACACTCTGCGAAAATCCACCAGCGGGAAAAGGAGGGAAGGAAGGAAAGGGTGCTGCAGTTAAACGGAGTCAGGGGCTGTACAAAGCAAGGCCGCGAAGCAAGCCAGACAGCGCTCCCAGTGTGTCCTTACCTGCCAATGGCTGGCTGAGCTCCGCCTGCACTTTACCCTTCGCTGATCCTTCCAGAGGTAAACCTCTGTCCCCTTTGTAGAGTTTCGGTTTAAATGGAGAATCTTTCTCTTTACCTTTTGATCCTTTAGGCCGGCCTGCTTGCTTCTTCTTGGATTTGCCATCCCCCTTCACACCCAGTAGTGGATGGACTTCTGTAAAAGGACAGAGAGGCACGGGAAGGGATCCACACGCCGCCCATCCCAGCGCCCCAACCAGGCACAGGCCACACACCGTGACTACCCGGGAGCAAAGAGTGCCGCCCTCATGTCCCAGACCCCTTAATACCAGGAGAGAAGTGTGCATTTACTAATTATAAAACTATAAAAGAGTGGCTATTGCAGGAGAAATCGCTGCTTGGCCACGGGCATGCAAGGCCTCCACGGCTCAGACAACAGCTCCAAACCAAAAAGGCAGCTGAGACACAGTGACAATGGAGCACACTGAGCCGTACCAGGAACGCACACAAGCACACTGGCAGGGGAGGAGAGAAAGGGAGTGGGGCTTTGGGTCCAGGCCACCCGGGGCGACAGTCCTGACTCCTCCACTCCCCGAGACCTTGGGCAAGCCGCCTGACCTCTCCAAGCCTAAATTTTCTCCTCTGTAAAGCAGAGAGAGTAAAACAACTTGCGGAGTTGATGTAAAACTCAGCAGTGACACAGAAACAAAACAACAGTGCCTGAAGCAAGCAGGCGCACCATCAGCAGCATCAGGGAGACACAGAGGGGCATCATGAACTGACTGCAGTCAGCTAAAAGAGGGGGATGGCCAACAGTAAACACACACACATACACCCCCCGACCTATCCCAAGAGGTGAGAATAAAGGCTGCCCAGTCAGACTGTAAAAGCAGGGAGGAAGAATGAAAAGATTATCCAGGTCTGACCAGTACTTTACCACCTAATAAAACCACTCTACAGGAAAAAAAGAAGAATGGTATAATGAAACAAACTCTGAGCCAGAGGTCAGAAGACGGCACGTTGTCATTTAGGCAAGTACTAGAAGGCACAATTTCTCCACTTTAGAAGGGAAGTGAAAGCAGATGAAATCGTTACAAAGTCATAAGGAGTTATTAAAAAAAAAAAAAAAAAAAGACTCATGGGAAATTCCCTCCGAGGTAAAATCACTCAAATGGGAAGTTACCAGACTGTGTCGGAGAGTAAGAAGTGATGTCTATCAGGCAAAAGGGAGAAGACGCAGCCCTTACCATCATTAGGTACTCCTTGAAGTTCTATATTGGTTGTTTTGGGTTTCTTCTTCGGTGGCTGGGACCCATCCGCTGAAGACTGCCTCTTCTTCTCTGAACTAGCCCCTTCATCCATCAGGGAGGTTTGGACAGCATCCGGTGGGGGGCCATAAGGATTTTCTTCCGGATCTTCTACCTCAGGGGCAATGGGTAAATATAATAGAGCCTTTGAATCTTCCAGCTCTTCATCACTATTTGGAACAGGATCAGGCAAGGGATTGGAAAAAAGAGGAGACAGTTGCTTAAACCATGAACCCTTCCTCTAGGGCAGAATCACCTACATTAACCATAAGCAACAGGTATGGATCTAGAACTTTAAGAAAGCCAAGATGATTAAGAGAAAATCAGACAATATGAATAACAAAATCAGTAGTAAAAACAAACGGTATAAATGAATTATCTCAGTTTTCCTTAAGATTTTCTATCAGGGGAAAAGGGAAGGGATTTCTTGTACACCAAAGGACTTATTACTTTGAACTAACACACGCAGGACAGCCGGAGGAGGTGAGCGTACACCAGAGCCTGAGGAGGAGGGGGAGGAGCGCCCCGCGGCCTCGTCTGCAGAGGTGGCTCACCTGCTACAGAAGGCAGCAATTGGGTCCACGCTGGTGACATCCACTTCCTCATCCTCGGCAGCATCAGCCCCTGCAGGAGAGAAACGGCACAGATGTAAGAAGAAGGAAAAACACGGCTTTTTACTTGCAGCCTAATGATTTCCATAAACTAAAATTCAGCAGAAACAAAAGAGGACAGCCAAACAGTTCGTTTTACTCAATAATTCAACAAGTAGGTGCTGAATCTCCACCCTATGCTGGGCACTGGGGATACAGTGATGACCAAGACAGCCGCACACAGTTCTTCAGTAAAAACTTCACAGCCTAACCAGGGAGACAGGTATCAACAGATAATTTCCATTCAAAAAAAATTTTTTTAATTTATTTGAGAGAGAGAGAGCATGAGACGGGGGAGGGTCCTAGGGAGAAGCAGACTACCCGCTGAGCAGGGAGCCCGATGAGGGACTCGATCCCAGGACTCCGGGATCAGGACCTGAGCTGAAGGCAGTCGCTCAATCAACGGAGCCACCCAGGCGCCGGATAATTTCCATTCAATTCAGTAAGTGTGATGTGCTACGAATATGAGAAGGAGGAACAAGTTATCTGAGTTTGGAAAGGCTTCACACAACATAATCCAGCAACATCAATACAATACAGAACAGGCCGCCTCCCTGGTGATCCTCCTAAAACACGGGGGCATATATGTGATCTAATATCACACAAGTGAGGATCAGCACTTCCAAGCTGGAAGAACCAACCTCAGTCCCAATTCCCTGATTCCTGGCACCATCAAGTGGTCCAGCAGGCGATGACCTGTGACATTAATTCCTTAGTGAGTAATTAACTTACAACCGGGAATACTAATAAGCATTCATACACACGAACCCCCATTAGATATAAAACCCTGTGTTAGACAACCATGCGGATTAAAAAGTCAAATCTTTATTCTAAAGGAGCTTCCTATCTAGTTCAGAAAACGAGATAAGAATAACAATGAGGGGCGCCTGACTGGGTCAGTCGGTAGAGTAGGCAACTCTTGATCTTGGGGCTGTGAGTTCAAGCCCCATGTTAGGCAAAGAATTTACTTAAAAAGCAAACAAACAATGAGCACTATCACAATCCTAATCGAAAATAACATCTGAATGCTTACCTTGGCCTAGGTGCTACACTGGGTCCCTTACACGAATTACTCCCCACAACCCTAAAAGGCAGGTTCTATTATTACCACTATTTTACAGATGAGGAAATTCAGGTTTAAAGAGTAATAAGGGGCGCCTGGGTGGCTCAGTCGTTAAGCGTCTGCCTTCGGCTCAGGTCACGATTCCAGAGTCCTGGGATCGAGCCCCGCATCGGGCTCTCTGCTCGGCGGGAAGCCTGCTTCTCCCTCTCCCACTCCCCCTGCTTGTGTCCCTCTCTCGCTGTATCTCTCTCTGTCAAATAAATAAATAAAATCTTTTAAAAAAATTAAAAAAATAAAGAGTAATAAGCATTTTGCCCCAGGCAGTTGGACTCCAAAGCTCATGCTGTTTACCTTTATCTTCCTGCCATGGGGGTGACAATACCTAATACAGACTGAGCACCCAGCATGTGCAGGTGATCAGGTGATCATCAACAATTCATCAGGAAACACAGTGATATAATAAGAGAGCTGGTAAACCCTAGTAAAAATGCTCACAGAGGCCCTCAGTTGGTGCATTCCACACAGAGACTCTCAGAACACCGTCAAAACTGTGTAAGCGTAAAGAAAAAGAGACTGCAGTCGAGAAATATTACCTGTCTGCTCAGGCTCACTCTTATCTTCATCTTCAATATCAAACTCTGATTCCCTTTCCTCATATTCTACATTTTCATCCAACTCCTTGAAGTCTGGGGCAAATGCACTCCAATTTTCCTATGCCGCAAACAAAATACACTACTTAACCGTATGAGAAAGCAATGGTCTGTAAACTCGACATTACTGATAGAAATGAAAGATCGGAGCACATACAAGACTTAGAACTCTGAGAACAAATCTGGCAGATAACAAAAATAAGGTACCTATAGGTTTTACTGTCTTAAGGTATTTGGATCTTAAACGCTCCAAGTTATTAACTACAGTTCTCTCATGAGAACTGCCATCTTTAATCTCTTAAAGATATAATTATCAGGTAAAACGCTGCATTTTCTTAGGAGTACACGGATTACAAACATGATTAAAGTTGTTCAAAATAAAACCAAGATGTAAAACAGAAACTAACTGAGCTGAAAATAAGAAAAGCAAAAGAAAACTCTCTCTCAGGTAACAGAAAAATGTTAACAGAAAGTACACCAGACTTTCTCCCTGAAGACAGAGGTAGTAAATCAGCTTTGGACCAAGACCTTCCCAACAAAATAAAGCAAAACTGAATCAATTTTAATTAGGTTACAAGAATCACATGCAAAAGAAATTAAATAGGTCATTTTTTGCTTACTACCTGTAAGGTTCTTTGATATAAAGAAAGGATATCTAGCTTCAAAGCAATTAAACCAGAAAAAATACTTACTACTTGATTTTGTGCCCAGATAGATACCACTCCACTTGAAATGGATGCTATGATGGGTCGAACAGGGTGCCACTAAATTTAAGGAAGGAAAGAAAAATCAGCTCTAAGAATGGATCCAAGATTATCTGTTTCACATCAGTAACAAGAGCAACCTCTCATTCTACTCACAGCTACATCCAAGAGGAGTTCTCCTCTCGTCCCATGGAGAATCTTCACCAGGTTGCCAATGCTTTTCTCCCAGATGTACAAGGCATGCTGCCGGGCTGAACCAGCCACTATGTATTCTCCATCCCCAGAGAAACAACATTTCTTCCACGGGGTCCTGAAGGACAAAGAAAGTACCCAAGGAGAACCAGAAGCTGAGCTCAGGTCATGTATTGCCCCATATTCTTCTAGGTGGTGATACACACCTATTTACCAAGTCCTGTAACTTCTGCATGGGTTCAGGCTCTCCATCTCTTCCACAAGTTAAGATTTCTCTGCCATCATAAACTCGGATTATCCGATCTGCTGTGTTAATTAAAAAGCAACTAGAGAAGGGATAAAAATATCAACACAAGAGGTCAGAAATGTTTCTGTTAACATTTTCTATTAATATCTGTTACTCAGAACAGTACCATAGAACAACTACTCCACATAAGCTAGAACACTTATGTACTTACTTGTCACCTTTCAAAGCAAAATAGAATTTGAAGTGAAGATATGTTGTATACTTTGTGTATCCCTGAACCCTATATGCACAAACTGATCTTCAGTATTTATTTTTAATCTTTAGTATTTGATTGAAATCCATGACCTCTAAAGTGAAACCAGCTTGCTGAATTCACAAACTTATAGTTAGACATACAATGCATACTTCATTTCTCTGGCCTATCTTATACATAACATATTCTTCCTAATGAGTTAGTAAACTATGTCATTTTAAAGTGTTCTTTTACTGTAATGACATTGGAAATCTGTCTAAAATGTAAGTTATTTCACTACCTTCCTACAGATTTCACTAAGCTTTCCTGAATTCTAAAGAATTTTGAACATGAATGTCCTCTAAGTACACATGCATGCTCCTATACAAGACAGAAGGACTGTCACCTCTCATCCTGACACCAACAATCTAATTCTTCTCGTTTCTGTTGACATATCTACTTCTAGCTGGGTAACCACACTTATCAGAAAAACATCTGAAAGTAAAAGGGTAAATAGTTTTATGTAAATAGAGTGTATGTCCAATTACTATGTGAATTCTGTGACATGACTTTGGATTATAAAAACAGGTGATCTTTACCCAGAGCGTACTATGTGGCAGGCATTTTAGTTCTAAGCATATACCACCCCGATATCTTTTCTGCCTAATCATCTCCAGAAAAAGAGGATGTGACTACTGGTTCAATGCAATAAATTTTATGAACGTAAGAACCAGATACTGACAGTTTCTAGTTATTTTTTAAGTAAATTTTCTTAAAGATTTAATATACACAAAAACTGTGAATCTCAATGTATTTTTGCATTCTACTCACTTTTAAAACTGTCCCTAAAAAGACAAGGTCTCACCTCCCCTTCCGGGCAAACTCTATGGACTTAATAGCTGTGGTATTGCTTGTTCCAGTTGTTACTCTGAAGGAAGCAACAAGATCCTGAGAATCTGTTTTTAGGACCAAAATCTAAAGTTCAAAGGAAAAAAAAAACAAAACCATTAAGTATTCTGATAACTTACAGTAATTAGAACTGGCTTCCATTTCTAAAACTGGGCAAAGACTGGGTAAAAATATAAACATCTCGGGGCGCCTGGGTGGCTCAGTCTGTTGAGCATCTGCCTTCGGCTTAGGTCATGATCCCAGAGTCCCGGGATTAAGTCCCGCATCGGGCTCCCTGCTCCGAGCAGGCTCCCTGCTCCACGGGGAGCCCGCTTCTCCCTCTCCCTCTGCCCCTCCACCCGCTTGTGCTCGCTCTCTTTCTCTCAGATAGATAGACAGATAAATAAAATCTTTAAAAAATATATAACGTCTCATGTATTCAACCTGATTAACTGATACTGCCTTTTAATTCTTCAAATAAAGAACCGTGTCTTAATCTATTCTCAAAATACAATGTTTAGTGTTATTCACAATAGTCAAAAGGTGGAAGCAACCCAAGGATACGTCAACAGATGAAGGGATAAACACAAGGGGGAATGTACTCCAGTGGGACAGTACTCAGCCAGGAAAAGGAGGGAAATTCGGGCACATGCTGGGCATGAAGGAATCTTCAGGACATCAGGCTGAGTGAAATAAGCCAGTCACAAGAAGACAAATACCATATGAGTCCACTTACATGAGGTACCTAGGGTAGCCAAATTCACAGATATAGAAAGTAGAGTGATGGTTGCCAGGGGCCGGGGAGGGAACAAGGACTAGGAGGTTCCTGCTTAACAAGTACAGAGTTTCAGTTTTATAAGACGAAAAAAGCTTTGGAGATACATGGTGGTGATGGGTACACAATAATGTGAATGTGCTTAATAGCACAAAACTGTACACTTAAGAATGGTTAAGATGGTATATGTTATGTTATATTTTATGTTATGTGTATTTTACCACCATTTCCAAAAATGGCCACTTTCTAAGGTAGCCATGAAATTATACTAGCCTATACACCCCAATCACCAAAAAAAAAAAAAAAAAAAAAATCAAGTTGCCTAATGGAACTACAAACTCTAACCTTTATTAAAGGGGCGCTGGCTCAGTCAGTTGAGCATCAGACTCTTGGTTTCGGCTCAGTTTGTGATCTCAGGGTCACGAGATCAAGTGGCAGGGAATCTGCTTCTCTCCCCCCCAACTCCCTCTGCCCCTCCCCTCCACTCGCACACATGCATGCACGCACTCTCTCTCTCTAAAATAAATAAATCTTAAAAAACAAAACAAAACAAAACAAAGTAAAACAGGACCTTAAAAGCCCAGATAACTTCTTACTCCACAAAACTGCAGGTTAAGTGGGCTTAAATTATATAATATTTACAGAACTAGGTATTAAGACATTTTTATCAAATGTATTCCATTTTATACTATGACTTTTAAATTTTATAAATGAGGGGCGCCTGGGTGGCTCAGGTGTTAAGCATTTGCCTTCGGCTCAGGTCATGATCCCGGGGTCCTGGGATCAAGCCCCACATCCGGCTCCCTGCTCCGTGGGAAGCCTGCTTCTCCCTCTCCCACTCCCCCTACTTGTGTTCCCTCTCTCACTGTGTCTCT